TCGAAAATCACATTGGTACACGGCGGGATTCGAACCCAAGACCTGTAGATTACAAGTCAAGTGTTCAAACCACTGAGCCACCGACGCTCTCGATAATAATTAGAGCGTGCATATCTTTGACTAAACTATCGCACGACTGTTTAGTCGCCCTTTGATTCATATGAGCTTACATAGAGGTTACACTACTCGATTTTTAGTTGCGCAGCTAAATAGTTAAATTGGCTTTGAAACAACCGACAATCGCCTAAGAGTTGTGCGATCGTTTAATCAAAGGTCGCTAACCATTTTTAAATGAGCCCTGTGTTATAAAATAATGAATACATTGTTGTAGGCAATCAAACTTCTACTCTTGGGAACAGGCGAGAGTGGGAAAACGACTATAATCAAACAAATGAAGATCCTTCACGTAAAAGGATTTAGTCACAGGTTGGTATAGTCGTATGCAAACTTTAAGGCGGCTCGGTATTCCACATGAGACATATCAAAACATTTTTAAATTGATAAAATGATCATTTGACCACAATTCCAACTAACGTTATTGGTGTCTATGGTACGGCTAAGTAAGTTAATATTCAATTTTAGGTATCCTCGGGACATGATTGGTGTCACGCAGAAATGCAAGCCTTTATAAAGTTTGAATCTCATTATACCGTCAGTTCTAAAGACATTGTTTATTGTTTTTTTCAGTGAACGAACAGCAATGATCCCACATATTAGGTTTAATACACACGAGGCGATCTACGAGATAATACACAACATGCCGGTGCTCAGTATAGGCTTGCAGAATACTAAACACGTCCGTTCACAGCAGTATCTATTGAAAGTCGGCCCTGAAGGACCACAGGAGTACACTGAGGTTGGTATTTCGTGGTTGAAGTTTTCAGGACAGAGGAAAACAGCATGACTTTGTAATACAATGTATTAATACACTGTTTGAGTATATCATTATAGTTATATTTTATATAGAATACAAGTTTCTGATTGGCTGAAACCATGCGTATTCCGATTCTCTAGCAAATGGCATCGAAATTTTAAAAAAGTTTTTTTTTTCAAATGGCATTATTTTTTTAATTGATTTTTTAAATACATACATGCGTACTATTTAATAGATTTTTTTTTTCAGGAATATTTTGATAACGTTCGAGATCTGTGGCAGGACGCAGGAGTAAGAGAATGTTTTAGAAGAGCCAATGAATATCAATTGATTGACAGTGCTGAATAGTACGTTTTTTTATATTTTTTATACTCTGTAATTTCGTAGTTATATATACTAATATTATAAAGAGGAAAAATTTGTATTTTTGTATGAATTAAAACAACTAGGCCGATTATAAAAATTCTTTCACCGTTGTAAAGGTAATTAATCTGTGAGTAACATAGGCTACATTTTTTATTATTTTTCAAATACACGCCGATGAAGTCGCGAGCAACAGCTAGTATCCAATAAAAACTATATGAACTACAGAACCAAAATCAAATAGTATTTCACCAATTTTATTATTAGCTAGGAACATAATGCCATACATGTCGCAGAGAATCGCACAGAGTGGAGAAACATCCTTCGAGAGAGTGTCAAGGAGAGTGGTCACGACCCTCAGGAATGAGGAAACGATCCGGAGAGAGAGAGGAACATTAACTTTAGAAATGTTTGATAATCTATAGCCAATATTAAAAGAAAAAAAAATTACGTTGGGATGTAATAAATAAACTTAAGAACTGGACCGATTAAAAAAAAATAATAGAAAATTTAGTTACTGAGCAAGTAGACTTTTTTAAATTCATTAAAAACTTTCCTATATATTTGGTGTTATTTATATATTTATTTTTCAGTTTTTTAGATAGAATAGATCTGATCGGCAAAGAGGATTATGTGCCATCGGACGCGGACATACTGCGCTGTCGGCGTAAAACCACAGGAATCCAGAAAATTGAGTTCAAAGTGAAGGTAATTAAAAATAACGACATCTATTGACATAATAAAACTACAAACCAAATACTTGCGTGCTCACACTTTTGACTTGCGATTTTCGATTGTTTTGCAATACAACTGTTTAGTTGCACAACTAAATATCGAGTGGTACGCGCCTCTATAAGATCATAGGAATCAAAACCAGACTATTTTTCATGTCTATAGAAGTTTTTTTTTTCATACGTATGTTTCTAACAAAATTAGCCGCGATGATGATATTGCCAGTCAAATTAACCATAAATCTGTCAATTGTGCCGGTGACACAATTTAGTGCAATTGTGATTTTTTTCCAGGTTCCAAAATCGATGCACGGCGGTACACAAGACTTCTGGATGTTTGATGTCGGCGGCCAACGAGGGGAGAGAAAAAAATGGATTCAGGTTAGTTGCGATTTAAATTTGAAATATTTTTTCTTACAATAGATGGCGCTGTAACAAATATCTTTGTTTTTACTGCTTTTTAAATTAATTTGTACTAGATGGATGTTTGTTAGAATTTGTAGCCTAAACTGCTATACAGATTTTGATTAAATTTGGCATAGATATAGAGGATAGTCTGGAAGAACAAATAGGCTCACTTTTGTTTTAATTCTTAAAAATTAACTACAATTTGCAGGTATTCGAAGGTATCCACGCGATCTGGTTCGTGGTTGCGTGTAGTGACTTTGACCAAACATTACGAGAAGACAATTTACAAAATCGGTTAAAAGAAGCCCTTATTCTATTCGAAGATGTCTGGCAAAGCAGGTTATTATATTACTTTACTGCCCCTCCCCACCCCCCAACTCTAGAATCGAAAAATGTAATTACTTTGAATTATCATGGTCTAAATCTAGGTCACACATAAACTCAAAAACGGCTTATTTAAATAAAAAATACTACTAAAATGGGGTTTTTAGTCGGCTACCAGGGGGGGTACTAAGGGGGGCCCCCTTCCATCTTTGGTTATCTTCTGTTCTATAACTTCTCCGTATTCCAAGTTTAACTTAGACTAGGCTCCGAACCTTTCAATGTATACTGAGCTGGTGATGATGATTCCAGGTTCCTCCTCGAAGCTGGTATTATCGTGTTCCTCAACAAACAGGATCTGTTGGAGACGAAGATCAAACAAGGACGAAGTATAGCTCCTTACTTTCCCAAATATAACCATTTCGAAGCCTCAGGAGACGAGTATACCAGAACAAAACTCTTTATTAGAAGTCTTTTCGTGGTAAGTTTTTATTTTTACTTCCCAAAAGAACTCCTTCTGTTTCTTTATCAATTCTGCTGTATGTTTTTTTTATATATTTAAAGCATATTTTAAAGGATTTAGGTGGGCTTTTATGGAAAAAAATATATTTTTCCATTTAATCCGTCACTGCTAAAATCAATGTTCAATCTCAAATCATTTTCCCATATCTTGTTGTATTTTTAATCCAATCTAATAGTTATAAAAAATCAGGATTTATTGTTTAGAAGGTGTCCAAATAATGTATACTCTGATCCATACAAATCTTGCTCTTGATCTCGCATAGATATAGAGGATAGTCTGGAAGAACATATATGCTGCTCATTTTGTTTTTTTTTATATCCCACGCGAACGGAGTCGCGGGCGCAAACTAGTTAATTATAATAGATAATCGATTAGATTTCAAGTTGTATAGATTTCTTAGACGTTATCATTAATTTGTAGAATTTGACAACAAAGAAGAGAGAACGTCGCCATATCATAGCATCAGCGGAGAGGTTCGTAGTTCTGGAGGCGAGCAGAGCACGTGAATGTTACTTCCATTTCACCACCGCCACTGACACACACAATGTGCGCACCGTCTTCCGCGATGTGCACCAGATGATACTCACACACATACTCAGCAATATCGGCGTCTACTGACAACGGTCTACTGGTCTACTCAGTACTAGTATGTCTACTGACACAAACCCGGTCTATAAGTCTAGTGGCACTCACCTGGTGTAATAATCTACTGACAACGACCTGGTCTACTCAGAACCGGTCTACTACCGACCCATTCTACTAGTCTACTGGTTAAGTGATTAGTCTACTAACGAACTCGGTCTACTAACACCGACTTCATCTACTGTTCTACTGATACTGATTCGGTCTACTGGTCTACTTGTAGATAATACAAGTAGCCCAGACTGGTTTATTAATGTGTGTCTTGCAATAGACATTGCCAAGTATTCATTTGGAGAAATATTAATTGTACTTAAGATACTAATAAATGCAAAGTAATAATCTCTGATTAAGTTATTTCGCTTATTCTTAAATCTGATTGTTGAATGAATTTAAAATTAAGTTAAAAGCAATGTAGTTACTATAATTTATTTTTAAAAAATGTGTTTGAATGTTATTTTTATTTTAGTATAGTGTTAAAAATAAATGCTAAGTTTGTTAAATAGAGATATGCTATTTAGAATAAGGTAATTTGTATAAAATATTAATAAAATTAACCATTTACCGAGCTTTTTAATTATTCGCTGAATTACCCTCCCCTTCTTTATTAAGGAATTCATTTTTTCTATACTATTATAATAAAGCGTAAACACACACTTCTTTGTTGCCTAAGATGTCAGCAATTACAGCATGTTTTTGAATAGTTCTTTTGTAATAAAAAGCCCTAAACTTACGTCACACTTTAGGCTATAAATTTTCACGCCATTAAACTTAGGGGGTAAACATTTTGGATAAAAACCCTAATGTGGGAAAGAGACTATAAGTTGCTGCCAACATTAAGGAAACAAGATTGCCAAGGTTTGTCATGTCATGTCAGTTTGACATTTGCTATTGATAATTTGACAAATGTAAACAATAAATTAAAATTTTCATAATTTCATGCGGATGAAGCCGCACGGGAACAGCTAGTTATTTATAAATGACATTACATGAATTTATTAATATAATTTAATTACAATATCTAAGAGTCATAATAGTTACATTACACAAAAATATACACATAATAAATATTTCAATAGTTATTTTGAAGTTTTTTGTTTAGTTAGTACTGTCAGATGCCTCCTTGCTATCATAATACGCCTTTACCGCTTTTGTTCCTTCTATCATGGCGTGGTTTGCTAATTCACCGGGAATCAGCAGTTTTATAGCAGTTCTTACTTCTCCACCACTTAACGTACTCCTCTTCGAGTGGAGAACTAATCTACCAGCTTCTTCTGCTATCTTCTCTATCATATCGTTCACGAAATTATTCATAATCAGCATTGATTTCTTCGATATACCGATACTACGATCTTCGACAACAGATTTCAATACTTTATAAATATAACTCGCGAAGTTACGGTTGTTCTTTTTTCCTGTTTTATTTTTATTTTTCAATATCGGCTTCTCTATCGGCTTGTCCATTGATTTTAGAGCGTTTTTCGGTTTTTTCACAGGCGCCATTTTGTATTTTGATATGTTCTCATGAGTGTAAATTTTACTTTAAATATGACGCGATGTTTATATTTATTACGACGGTGTTTTAACATATGGTTGTTATAAAACGTAAAATGTTTGATAAGTTTTACAAATGAGACGTAGTTTTGATTTTTAAATTTTTCTGTATGTTTTTAAATTAGCACAAGCGGTTATCTAAACTAATATAATAAAGAGGAAAGATATGTATTTTTGTATGTATTGGAATAACTCAAAAACTATTGGGTTGATTTTAAAAATTCTTACCGGTAGAAAGGTTATTTATCTATGAGTAACAAGGCTATATTTTTTTGTCAAATTTAAATTTTACGCAAAGTCGCGAGTAACAGCTAGTCGTAAATTTGAAAGAAAATAATTTTTTTCGTATTTCTGTTTTTTGGATACAATAAGGTTAATTAAATTAAACTCTTAAATTAATTTGAACCAGACTTTTGATTATAGTTTTTGGGTACAATAAAACAATTCATAATAAGTCAATTTAATTATTCGTTCACATACAATTTCGTTCATAAATATATTTACATAGAAATAAAGGTAAAAAAACACAAATTAACAATAAACAATTTGAATCAATCAGAATTTTTACTGTCATTATAGGCTTTGAGTGCTTTAGCGCCTTCAACTAACGCATGTTTCGCTAATTCCCCCGGCACTAGAAGTTTTATGGCCGTTCGGATTTCCGCACTGCCCAAAGTACTCCTTTTAGAATGTACTACAAGTCTCCCAGCTTCTTCAGATATCTTCTCTATCATATCGTTAACGAAATTATTCATTATTTGCATAGATTTCTTCGATATACCGAAATTTTCTTTCAATATACTCCTCAGTAGCTTATAGATATAAACAGAGAAGCTATGGTAATTCCGTTTTTTCATCTTACTTTTTATAATAGGTTTTTCGATCGGTTTTTCCATTGATTTTAGTAGATTCTTCGGTTTTTTTACTGGTGCCATTTTGAAGTTTAAATAATATACGGTTGCTTGTAGTCGTATGTTTTCAAAACAGTTTTTGTGTATATTTTACGGGACGGTATCTTAGCTAAAGAGGGTAATAATACGTGTATAAATCAAATTATTTTCTTTTTAAAAAACGTACTAATTATTAAGACGTTAGGAGTAAACCTTAAAAATGTGTATAAAAATATTTTAAAGGCATTTGTATGTAGTTAAATTAATTTTGTCGATGTTGATAAAATTTAGTTGAAAAAACCTTTATCTATCAGATATACATATATTTTTACTATGGGCCGTTATAAAGAAATTTTAACTATTTAAATTTCGACTATTCCAAACTAATGCATTTTATTTCTTTAAACTAAGCAACTGAGGGGCATAAGCCTATCATATACAATTTTTACTAATTCAACGGTAGTCGAAAATAAAATGAATTCAACTACGAATTACCCACTATTAATAATATTCATCACTATAAAAGCTAACACAACGATTAACGCACATCACTATACGTTAATTATCTAAAAATGACAGGTCGTGGTAAAGGCGGGAAAGGTCTCGGGAAAGGAGGCGCGAAACGTCATCGAAAAGTACTGCGAGATAATATTCAAGGTATAACAAAACCTGCCATACGAAGATTGGCACGACGCGGTGGAGTGAAGAGAATATCTGGTTTAATTTACGAAGAGACAAGAGGAGTTTTGAAAGTTTTCCTTGAGAATGTGATTCGTGACGCAGTAACGTATACTGAACATGCGAAGAGAAAGACTGTCACAGCAATGGACGTCGTGTATGCACTAAAGCGACAGGGCAGGACTTTGTATGGTTTTGGAGGTTAATTTAATAAATAAAAAAATATATAAAAACGAATGTAGACAAGGTTCTTTTAAGAACCGCAAAATTATCTTAGTTTCTATTAAGATTTGACACGTCAATTGTTTTTTTTTTTAATCTTAAATGTCAGTGAAGTAGAAAGTCCTTTCGTAATCTCCATTATTTAGAAGAAACTACTACCCTAGAGTGAAATTAGAATAGAATTTCGAGGGTTATTTTTTTTTATTCGAAAGCTACACCAATTGCATGTTCAAAGTTCACAGCCAAATTAATATACTGTAGACAATGAAAAACAAAAAAGCAGAACAAGCAGATGACAGGCGTTATACAGCGCGCACAAGAATTTTTTTTTTTTACTTTTTTAATAACAAACTTTGAATCAAATAGCTATCGCGTTAATTACAACTCTAAATTAGGGTACACATATTAAACAAAAAATTAAAACAAAGACATTAAAAGTGTTACTGTGTTATTTTCTGTAACCATTAGAATATCTTGTAGAATCACTTAATTTAATTTCGAGGTAATATTAAAATTTTCTAGGAAATATCTTTTAGTGTTAGTACCCCATAGTACTAAATACTTAACAAGGCGATACTATATAAAGCCTTCATAAATCACTAACTCGT